CCCCCCCCCCCAGCAGGAGCCGGGCACCGGGCATGGTCTTCAGGCCTGGCGAGAGGCCCCGCGGCCCTTGCCCTTCTCCTTGCCCTCCGTGCCACCCGACGGCCAAAGCGCTCTGGGCGGCTTGCAGCAAGCTGTTCCATTGAAGTTATAATTACCCATGTAAAAGTGGCGTTGACAACTGTAAATGAGCGTAGATCAGTTTTATACCGATCAGGTCCTCTTTTGGCCACGGCTGGAACTCGGACTCGCTGGGCCAGGCGTGTGGCCACCAGCTCTTTGGGAGGCCCCGCCAGGCACACGGTTCCCCCAGGCGGCTTCCCACTGATGGATCCGTCCTGCTCCTCTCCGTTTATGGCCTTTGAGCACGTGGACGGGGGTCCGCCGTGTAATTTCGTCCGTGACATCGCAAAGCCCCTTCGTTAAGAAATACGATTCTGATGCCCAAGGCAAACACCGTGGCCTTTGTCCTTCAATACTTGGAAGCAGAATGCAGCCTTTCCTAACTGGCACAGCACGGCTGCATTTTATGCCCAAGTGTTGGCACCAAAGGCAAAATACACTGTAAGAAGAGACAAATGTCTTTCAACCCAGAGCACTTTGAGGTCAAATCCCTGAATCGCATCCGAAGCCGTAACCGACGGTGCCGGTCGGCTGTCTTCCCTGCTCCACCCGCAGCAGGCAGCTCTGCGGCCCCAGCAGCGTTTCCTTCCACCTGGAATCCCGGTGCTGAGCAACTGACACGGCCGCTCGGGAAGGGCCCCTGGCTCCAGTGCGCTCGGCGTCTCCCTGCCCGGCCGAGAGGACCCGCTGCCCCAGACCCTGCGTGGCTCCTTCCTCCACTTCTGCGGAAGAAAGGGCGCCGTCTGCCGTGCAAGTCGAGAACTTCTTGGAGGGGCCGCTTGGGGCAGAATGTGTCCCAACAGCTCGGTCATTGAGGCTCCCCCATTACTACTAATAGTATGGGGTTTTTTTCCTTTAAAAACTGCCTTCTTTGGGGTCTGGACTCCCTTAGAAATAAAATAAAATAAAATAAAATAAAAGCTTTGCTGTGGCACTTGGCATGGAATCATGTATGCCTATGCTATGCCTAAGCTCATCTCTTTGGGGGAAAATGCGAAGACCTGATTCGGGCCAAAAAGAGTGCCAGGCGGGTGCGGTGGGGGTGCTCGCTGCCCAGCGGGGTCCAAACCGGAAGGCGTCGCTGGTGGGGGGTGGCCAGGCGGGCCCCCTGCGGAGCTGCCACGGGCTGCTGCCAGGACGAGCTGTGCGTGGAAGGTGGCTGGCCGTTGCCAGGTGCACAGGCAAAAGCCCACGGTTGCTTCTGAAGCGTGGGTTGCTCTGCCGCCTGAGCCCAGCCATGCCCACAAGCCAGGGCCTGTTAGCCACAAACAGCCCAAAAGAGAGGACGCCCTGGTGGCTGTTGGGATGGGAGCTGTGGGCCGTGCCCCACGGCTTCTCATCGGAGGTGCGTTCAGACAGCATGAGAAACCATGTGTCCACAGCACTCACAGCGCAATGACAACTCGCTCTCAGCCCCTTCTTGGGACGGGTATCCTTGACGTGGGCGCCTCGAGCTGCTGAAGCGACCGCAGGCCAGCCCCGGGAGCAGCCCCAGTGCCCGCCCAGCCGGCCTGGCCCAGACCAGCTGGCGCTCTCCCCCACGTGCCTTCCCAGGGCCACCTGTGGGGAGGGCCCCTTGCCCCTGCACGGCTGGAATCCCCCCCAGGCCCTAGCGCCCTGCCCCCTTTCTTCGGATTTGTGGCAAAGCGGCAGCAGCCCTAGACCTGCACAAGCGACAGGGGCATGGCCCAGCCAGTGCGGAGCGCCACCCTGAGGAGCTGGGGGGACGAGGCGCTCGTCCTGCCTCTGAGGCCGCCCGGCAGCCAGCATCGCACTGCAGGCGCTCGCCCATGGATGGGCGGAGGTGCGCTCCCTCTGGCGCTGGCGTGTGAAGCGGAGGGCCTCAGCCGGGCTGCTGGGAGGACGCTCCTGCCGCCGAGATCAGCAGGGGGCTCCCTGGGGCAGCGCTGGGCCTCCCCTGCCCCCCCCCCCGCAGTGGTGCAGGCCCCGGTCTGCTCCAGGTGACTGGGTCCCGGAGGAGCCCTCTTCATTTCCCCCATCTCCCCACACCAGGCAGGGCTCCTCCTGTCGCTGACAGGACTGCTTGCCCTGCCGCCGCCTTTGGCTGAAGCCCGCAGCATCCTCTGATGTGAGAAGAGACCCCGGGGGGCATTTGCTGCCCCCCCCCCAGCGCCCCGCCTGGACTAGCCCAGACCAAAAGCTGCGCCAGAGCTGACACGCCCCGTGGAAGGCCCCTGGCTTGAAAACGCTTGAAAATGCGTGTTACCTGCACACAGAGGAGCTTACGTGCTTCCACATAAGGAAGCTTCGGATTGGTCTACCAGCCCTTTTAAAAATGGGATTTCTCCCTGAGGAACAGACACTGAAAGGTGTCAAACATCTGAATTCAGGGATGCAGAAAAGGCAAGCGAAATGGCCATGGAGGTGGAGCAAGCAAGGAAAGGCTGCAGCCCCTTCGGTGCTTTCTAGCACAGAATTTTTTCCTAATGTGTGCACAAAATTAAACATGGCATGGAGAAAGTAGATAGGAAGAATCCTAGAAGCTGGGGTTTTCTCCCTCCACTGAAAGGCTTCCATTCTGGGGCCTTATTTTCTGGATATTCTATAACTGATCTCGTATTTCTTCTGGTGGTGTTTCCGAGCTCACCTAAGCGCTGCCAGAGACTTGGGGTGCTGCGTGTCTCTTTCCTTTCCTGGTTCGTGTCTCGGCGTTGCTCTGCCGTCCCCAGGCTGCCCGCACTGCCTCATCAGAGAAAGCCCCGCAGTAGCAACCCTGCCAAGACATCTTCCCTGGCTTCAGTGGAGGTGTGGGAAGATGAGGAGGCTGCCAGAGGTGCGGGCAAAAGGAGCCGTGCGGGCACCCTCTGCAGCTGCGTCACAACTCTCTCCGCACACCCCCAGACTCAGCCCCTGGGTCTTTCTCCAAACGTCTTCTCCGTGGATTTCTTCTTGCAAGCTGTTTATTCTCTCTCATGCGAAAGAAATGATGCTGGCTGCGGGGAAGCGGGGCACTCTCTGCTGGCAGCTGATTCTGTGCCTCCGCTCACGCACTCCACCGGGCCTCGGCTGCCAGGCACGCGCCGAGGTGGCCAGGCCCAGGTGGCCGCCTGGACGAAGACGCCCGCCCGGTCCCGCCCTATGCCTCGCTTTGCCTGGCAGCACCACTTCTCCATCTTCACCCTCCCCTGGATGTTGCCTGCTGGCGGCGGGGAACTCGGGGGCCCGGCAGAGGCAGGGGCACAGAGAGCTTGCGGAACTTGGCCCCGGAGCCAGCAGGGAGCTCGGGCCCCACGCGTCTGGTTTGTCCAAACAGGGCTGCCGCCTAGGGGACCCATGGCCCTCCAGATGCTTCCACTTGCCCCAGCCAGCGTAGCCGGGGCCAGCGGTGATGGCGCAGTGAGCCACAGCATCTGGATGGCCACAAGTGCCCCCCTTGGGGGGCAGGATGCCCAGCAGGTTGCTGGGGTGCCCTCTGACCCTTGGTCTGCGAGGAAGGACCGTCCCGCCTTGCAGGGTTCCTGAGTGAAGCCACAGCTGCAGTTCGCTGCAGAGGAAGGTGAGGCAGTCGCCCGCCTGGGAAAGGGCTTCTTCGCTCACTCGAAGGGGGTGGCGGAGACAACGATGCAGCCGCCCGGGGCTTTGGTGGGCCTGTGACGGAGCTCTCCTCACAAAAGCAGAGGCAGGAGCTCACAGTCCACCTGACTCGGATCCAATTCCAGGAAGAACCCAGTTTTCTCCCCGAGGGTGCAACGTTCCCGTCTGTGTGAGCCCGCGAGGCCCCCTGCTTCACAGCAGGGACGTTCCGAGTGGGGCTGAGAAGGGCGGGGGGCGGAGTTCCTGAAACTCAGACCCTTGAAGCCTTGAAGCTTTCATCATCCCGGCTTGCCTGGCAAAGGTGACTCAACGTATCTGGGGGCACCCGGTTGGGAACGGCCAGGGCTGCCATTCGGCCTCTTGGCCTATCAGTTTTTGGGGCTATTAAATGGACTGTGGCAGCGAGACGGAGTGGGGGTCCCTTGGGGTGGGCCACCACTGCCGGGATAGCCCCAGGCGGCTGCAGCGGCATCGAAAGCTTGGAGCCTGCTTGCTGCAAAGGGAGGGCAGCCTCGCCGGCCCTCTGTAATGCCGAGGGTGAAGAGGCTGCTGCCAGGGCCCTCCGGGCACACGGTCTGTGCAGCGCCCACTCAACGTGAGCTGGGGCGAGTCCGGGCCTGGGAGCCGCAGCTCTCCTTGGTGCATCTGGCATTCGTGCCCGCTCCGGCACCGGAAGCGGCACTGCCTGCCTGGGGCCAACGGAGGGACACCCGCAGCCCTGGGACAACGGGTAGGGCCTGGCGCTGCAGTTCCTGGCGCTGGCGAGCGGGGAGAGCAGGGCCCGCATCAGCCGGGCGGCGAGCGGCAAGCGGAAATCCGACTGTTCAAGCCGATTCTAGCCCCCCAGGAATACAACGAGGGAAGACTCTTTCGCACTGACAGTCGTGCCGTGCCGTGCGGTGGGGCTCTCCGGTGCCTCCCAGCCCCCTTTCCTCACTGAGCCTGGCTGGAAGGACCGCCGCGTGTGGGTCAGCCCTGTGGCAGGCAGCTGCCTCGTGCGCCCGCTCTCAGCTGTGTGTGCACCGACACGCCCGCCTGCCCCTGAGGGCCGGGGTGGCCTCCGCACGCAGCCTGCCGGGCCCCGGGAGCCCGAGGCAGGCCGGCCTCCTGAATCGCACTCCTCGACGCGGAGCAGAGTCGCTCTCGCCGCTGCCGCTGGGGCCCCATGCGGCCCGCCCTCCAGCCATGGAAAGCGGCAGCTCCCCGCTGCCCTCCACGCGGAGCGATGCCGCCGTCCCGCCCGGAAGCCCGGGGCAGCTCCTCCAGGTCACGCCGGCTTGGAAGACGTCCCGCAGCCCGGCCTCCCCTGCGTGCTCCCCAGGCCAGCCGGACGAAGCTGCTCTCCCGGCGCCCGCTGCCCTTTGCCAGCTGCTCCCCTGCTCGGCTGGCACGGCCGGGCTGGCCCTGGCTGCTCTGGCACAGCGGCGCCCTCGGTCCTGCATGGCACGTGTGGATCGCAGCGGCCGATGCCCCGCTTGCTGCAGAAGCCGTGCTCAGGCCAGCCCACGATGCTGGGATGCAGAGATGTGGACAGAGCGGCCTGCGGACGTGGCAACAGTTGACACGTTATAAAGAGGCACCGTCACCGAGAGCATGACTGTCGATACTTCATTGTATTTACATAACCAGGCGCACCGGCTTGAATTCTGTGGTACTGTGACAGAAGTGTGCGACACAGACGTAGTGCAACGGGAGCGTTGGACAGCCTTGTTAGGGCACAGGCCCTTTTGTCTTCTTGAGCAGCACACTTTCCAAAGTGCCCTATAAGTGCCCTTGAAGACCTCCAGGGAACCGGCCCCTTGGGCTTGAGCGCGTTGCTGGAGCACCAGAAATCGCTCCCAGCGCTGCAGAGTGTTCTGCTGCCTTGCACTGGACCGGTTTGCCCGGCCTTCTGTCCTTCTCCCACAAGAAGCAGCCCTGCGCATCGCTCTTTCTCTGCCTAGATTCTCATTTGATGCACATTACATATTAATTTTACTGATTTGGCCCAGAGGCAAAGAATAAGGGTCACACCTATCACTTATAACCTCACTAGCGCAGTATAATTAAAGACCAAGCTGTGTAGTTTCCTCCGGGTGCTGCTTCTAGACCAGACACGTATTAGCTCCAGAACTGCAAACAGACACAATTCATTCCCCAAACACATGAACACGAGTCTTGAAAAATGCAAACAGCTAGAATAATGTGTCAAGTGGAAAACTCACCCTGAAGAGAGCAATTCTGTTAAAAAGGGGGAATCGGGACAATGGAAAAGCTGCGGGTATCTCATTAAAACTGAACAGGCAGTCTGATTAGGATATTTCATTGTCTTTTGAATCCCTGTTATGTGAGTGAATGGAACAGCATGTGAGTTTATCTCACACTTGATGAAGTAACAGAAGAAAACAAGGGCAGGGACCGAGACTGACGGGCTTTCCTTGGGCCCTTGCGTGGGGCAGTCTGTGCCACGGGTGGAACCACACGCTTGGCTGAAACTGAACCACTCATGATGAAGCTGAACGAGGAAGCGCAAAAGCAGGACTGCCGTGGAATATTAGCAAAACAAGCATCACACCTGCAGAAGAATTGCACAACATTGCTGTCAACAATGAAGAGGTTGCAGAGAGACCGTGAACGGTTTTGCACGCTTGGCCCCATCATCAATCAAGGGAGGCTGGAGCCAAGAAATGTGAAGAGGCTGAGGCTGTGAGGGCGGCAGTGTGGGAACCAGTCGCCGAGCGTAAGGACGGAGGCCGGGCAAGATCGTTCACACGCCTGTATTCCTGATCACCATGGATGGGTGTGAAAAATGGTCAGTGGCGCAAGCACACAGAAAATTGATGCATGTGAAACACAGTGTTGGAGAAGAACTTTGCAAATATCCTGGACGGAGACAAAGATGAACAAAGATCGGGACTTTCCCGGGAAGAAAAATGGAGAAACCCAGGCCGTTGTACTCTGGGTGCCCTGTAGGAAGGCAAGTCTTGCTGGAGGACAGAATCCCCTGGAAAAGCTCGAAGGAGGATGAAAAGGAGGCCGGCCAACGGTGAGGTCCATCGACTCCACAGGCGGAGCCGCGGCCTTCAGCTGACAAGAGCTGCGCAGGAGTAAAAGGGCAGGACCTCATTTGCAGTGTTTGCAGGACCCTCGTTCATGGGCTGTCACAAGTCAGGAATGACTGGACGGCACAGAACAACAGTGGGTCCCATTGTGCACGGAGAGAGCATGGGGCTGGGATCTGCATCGGTGGATCCCGAGGGAGTTCCTTCGCCCATATATTGTGGGGGCGGCTTTGCTCAATCACAGCCCAGTTAGACCTCGCTTGGTGGCAGTGACCTGCCTCATCGAAGGGCAGCTGACCGGAGGATGCGTCGCCGCATGGAGAGCGCAACTTGGGACTTGCGGGTTTCTCTGCCTGGTGGGTCAACCCTACTGTTTTACGGCGGCTTTGGCTGTGGGAGGAGAAACGCTGTCCTTCCCACTTCTGTTGCCCTGGCGTTTGTTTCTCTTCCCGTCTTTATATTTTATTAACCCACCACAGGGCGGTGCTGCTGTGGAAGTGTGGCGTGACAGATTTGTGGCTTCTCGGGAAAGTTTTGTTTCACTTTGCTGCAGTTTGAATTTTAATAGCTGACTTTTCTCACTCCCAGATCCTGTGAGGAAGGCTGCAAAACACTGGAGACGCCCGGGAGGACAGCAGAGCTGTGCCAAGACTCCGGCAACACCTGTGAACGGGGGAGCATGAGAACACAGTAAGTGCTGGGTGCCCGGAAGCCCACAAACACAGAAGCAGGCTAAGCAGCTGTGTGTTCATGTTGCGATGTGGGGTCCAGATGCAAACAGCACTTTCCAAGCAGGCCGCGATGTTTGGGCAGCGGGGGACTGGGGCTCCTGCCCTCTCTGTGGGTTTTGGCAATTTTACTGAGTGGTATTTCTGCGAGTGCTGCAGAGACTTTCTGGCCTGGCAGGCGCAGGTGCCACCTCTCTTGCTTTTAAAAGGTTGGTCTGAGCTCGAGACTGAGCCTTCCTGCAACTCGGTGCGATTAGAAGTAGCGATGGAGCACGTGAGGCGGCCAAAGAATTCAGGATCTGCAGGAAAGCCCATTTCCTCCTCCAAGGGAGTCGGGCCGGCAGAGGATCTCCTTGGAACCGGGCGAGGAGCCCAGCCCTCGGCCAAGGCGGCACCTGCTCCACACAGGACCCCGAGGCTGCAGGACCTGGAGGGCAGCAGGGAGGGGCTGCACAGCTGGGCGGCCCCGAAGGCCCCAGCCCGGGACCTGCTTGGGCCAGCATTTCTGCCGGGGGCTGAGAAGCGGCAGGGGCTCGCTGCCCACACCAGCCGGCGAGCCCGCACTGCTGGGGAAATGGCGCGGGGCCACCCCAGGGCCCCGGGGAACAGAGACCACGGGGAGCAGGCACAGGCCCAGGAGGCAGTGGGGGGGGGCGACGTGCAAGCCACGGGGCCTGGGGGGCTGCAGCCACACAGCCAGGGAGGTGGGCGAAGGACTGCAGCCCGTGGGGGTGGCTGCCCCAGGCCCAGAACTGCTGCGGGGCCGTGCACCTCTCATCCCACCCCAGGCACAGCCCCCCCCCCCGCCCGCCTGCGGAGCAGCAAAGCTGTTTCCCCCAACGAGGAAGTTAGTTTCAAGCACCGTGCGAGGAAAGTCCCGTCGCACGGGGCTTGTTGCACGTCCACAAAGCACAGTCCAGCTGCTTCATGGAGGAGCGATTCTGCCCCAGCCTGCAGCTGAGCAGCCGCTCTGCAGAGGCGCCTGGTCCCCACCAGCGCTCAATGGAGTTCCTCCCAGCTAAAACGTGCTTGCCCCTCTTTAATTGGGCAGGGCTTTTACAATACTGATCGCCGGAGCGCGAGAGCCAGCCGGTCCCTTCTCTGGCGCCCGCCCGCACCCGAGTGTCCTCCGCGGGGCGGGGGGTCCTTCGGAGAGCTGCTTACATCTTGGCGCACTGGCAGGGCTGAAGCTGCCGGCTGCCGGGCCACAGTGTTCGTGGTGCGAGGGGCTGCGCGTGGCTGGAGGCAGTGGATGCACAGTGGCGGGGAGGGGGGGCGGCTGCCTGGGGCCTCTCGGGTGCCCAAGGGGATTTGGGGGTGCCTCCCAAGGAGGACTGGCCTGGGCTAGGGTCAGGGTCAGGGTTAGACACCCCACCCCCGTGCAACTTATTCACCAGCAGGTTGTTCTGAGCATGAACGGGCGGCATGTGAGAAGCACCCTCGGGTGTGTAGAAGCTGGCACGCGGGGGTCCCGGGGAGCTGGCAGAGGAACCCTCTGCTCCACGGAGCGGGCGCAGGTGCCCGCGGGGCAGGGCAGCGGCACGGGCTGCCGCGAAGGGTTAATCGCGCCTCGGGTACGGGAACGCCC